AAGTCAAGCCAAAGAAGCAGAAGAAGCCGAAACGTGCCTCTAAAGTGGCCTACAAGCGGGTGGACCAACTTTGGGACCAGTCCATACACAATTTCAAACTCACTGAAACCGTCAAAAATACCGGCGAAGCCATCTGGGACCAGTATATCTTTACCGTCCGTCGTCGATTTGACTGGGAGCACAAGTATTTGGCCACGATCGTGGACATCAAATCCGAACCTCTCAAGGAGTGCCTTCAACATGTTATGGCGGGCGTTAAGGGCATCAGTCTGTTTGAAGACACACCTCATCTGGATCCAAATATGCTCTTCCTGTATCTGGAAGAGATGAGGGACTATGCCAAGGCCCTCGAGGACGATGCTCAAGGGAAGAAGCGCAAGGAGGCAAAGGCTTTGAAGACCAAAGCCAAACACCTCCGAGTGATGGTTAAATACCTGGACAAGGATTTTGCCGAGACGAAGAAGAATCTCTATCCGATGCTGGAAACTGGCATGATCACCTTTGATCTCCTTTGGGCTCTGTACAAGCCAAACGCCATTGTGTACTCTTCCACCTACGGAGATCAGGACGAACCTCGGGCTTTCAAGATTGACTTCACAACCAAAGAATCGCACTTCATGAGGGGCAGTTGGTACATTATCGAAGGTCGATACCTCGAGTATGATGGCAAGAATTTTGGAATGGGCACCACGCACTCGGAAATATCGTCATTCCAGGGAGTGCGTAAGATCACCTCCCTAGACTGCTATCCGCTCCAGTATCACAAACATGCCGACAAGATGAGATCTCAGCTGATTGACCGAGGAAAGATGTTCGTGTCCCTCCAAGGCATGAATTACCGCCATCACAAGGGCATGGCATACACCAAACGCAAGAAGCAAGTCCTGAAGATCAACATTGACGGGCGTGTCATGGTGGATCCCTCCATCCATCGTCGAATCAATCCCAACTATCCTGCCAGCGTCATCAAGCCAAAGGACGATCCAGATGGCGTCATCCTTGACGACACGGATGACGAGTGCAGATGTGGCTTTGATAGCAGCTCCGACGTCGGTGGCAACAATCAAACCACTCCTTCTGACGAAACCATCCAGGTTCAAGAGACGAAGAAGTACAAAGTGGTTAAGACGCCAGACGGACAAAATGCCGTTGTGGAGGTCAACTCGAAGGAGGACATCGATTGGAGCCAGAATTCCGAACCACTCGGGGACGACAAGCTGTCACCCCATGAATTCACCGAGGAAGAGCTGCTCATTGCCAGCCCTGTCGTCTTAGGCTTCGCCTTTGGCGAGAAACTTTGGCTTGAGTTCACCGTCTCCGGAATCTCCGAAGTGGTATTCAACGACCAAGCATTTGAAAGTCTCGTCCTTCCTGACAACCACAAGTCCATCGTCAAGGCTCTTGTCTCGAGTCATGCCTTTCAAGCCCACAAAAGCATTGATGATATCATCTCTGGCAAAGGCCGTGGGTTGGTGGCGGTTCTCCATGGGCCACCAGGCACTGGCAAGACGCTTACCGCTGAAGGGATCGCGGATCTTCTCAGGTGTCCGTTGTACATGGTCAGCGCCGGCGATCTAGGCACTGAACCAACCAAGCTCGAGAAAGAACTTCAGAACATTCTGGACATCGCCCACAGCTGGGGTGCGATCCTGTTGCTTGACGAAGCCGATGTATTTTTGGAACAACGTTCAATCCACGACATCCATCGTAACGCCCTTGTCAGCATCTTCCTTCGCCTTCTCGAATACTTCCAAGGCATCCTTTTCCTGACCACGAATAGAGTGGAAACCTTCGACGCCGCCTTTGTGTCACGTATCCACCTGTCGTTGCGCTTCCAGAACCTCAATACCAAGGCCAAGCGCACGGTGTGGAAACTCTTTATCGACCGCGTCAAAAACCAGGAAGGGATGCAAGTAGCGGCCATCACGGAGCAAGATTACAACGACCTTGCACGCCGCGAGGTCAATGGGAGACAGATCAAGAACCTCGTGCGTGCTGCACAAGCTCTGGCTGTCCATGAAGAAGTGCCTTTGAGTATGGTGCACATCAAGCGTGTGATTGATGTGGCAGAGAGCTTTGAGATGGACCTTAAGGGTGGTACCGGATACACGGATGCCATGAGAAGTGAGTTCTACTTGTGACTGGATTGCTATGGGCTGTTGCTGACTTTTGATATTAGGTTATACTTGATCCGATAATCTCGTCATTTTGTTCGAAGACGGTCTATTACAGCAGCCAAGGAGCCCGAGGTGTCAAAGGCGGGTCGGTCGAGAGCAGCGACTTTCTCTCAAACGAGACTGGGCGCCGTGAGCACTGGTATGGAATGCCCGTGTTAGTTCTCGGTTGGCAACTCGATCGGACTCTCTTTCCCATTTCTTCTGCATGTCTTTTTGGTCGTCGGACGGATTGGGCAACGAAACGGATATGATCTTGGTTATTAGGTTGGTTTCGTGAATGTATGTGATGACGGCGGCCACCCGTGTCGAGTCGCGGACTGGGTTTGAAATATGGAGGCAGGGTCAGATGAGCTACCAGGTGGAATGATGAACGAGTCATAAGGCGAGGCGTTCATGGATCATCTCACAGCAAGCGATTTCAAACTTTGTCCCGGGCCATTGACTGCGTAACAGTCACATGGCAAAATTTCTCGTGCATAATAAAGTGGGTGTGCCTTCTATTGAAAAATTAATATGTTACCCTCGCTCTACCTGCTTCCAGCGGATTTACTGCTATGCGTCGGATTTCGCGAGCCTCTTTCTATTTGTGTAGGAAGCTCAAGCTTTGATTGTGGGTGTCCGCATTGGAAGATCTCATCACCTTGGCCCTTTACATGTGTTGTGGGACATGGCTGTAACGATAAAGTATGCCACCCTTGTTCAACTAAATGCTAAACGCCCCGCAAGAAGGCGTTCCCTCAGAGTTCGCTGCTTATAATATGGAAGTTTGAGTACCACGGGATTTCAACAGGGCGAAGTCGAATTGTCTGGGAAAGAGGTGACTGGGACTCTTGGCTCGTGAACAAAACAGTCCATACCATATTGTGGTACAAAAGTGGCAGCCTTTGCGAGCGCTTTCCAGAGGTTCTGATAGGTCTCGGTAGTGGAAGTAGTAAGTGTGGCCATGGTGTTTGAGATGTTCGAAGCACGTAATGTTTTCGTCTAGGATGTCCTCCTAATGGCTGTGCATCCAGTCTTCAAGGAACCCCAAGTGAATTACAGAGCGGGCGTGTCACAGCATCTTCGAGCAACTCTGGCGTTCATAAACAGACTATTGGCGAGACAATTGCTTAGTGCTCTTCTCAAAGCAGCCATATGGAGAGCATCGGTGAGCTCTTGAACCAGCCAGGGGGCAAGGAATAGGGTCGATTGACTGATTGAGAAATGTATCTGGAGTAATGAGGAGGTTTAACGGGCTAGGAAACTCGGGGAGAGTTTGCCCCTGTGCCAAGACTATATTGATCTAGTCCTAATTAGGCTAGTGGATACTTCCCGCAACCCGTCGAGCCGTCGAGCCGTCGAGCCAAGTCTCGTTATTCAGCTCGGAGGGAAAGTCCTTCCGTCCTGCTACGCCCCCCATGGCAGCCTTATACTTGTGTCCACGTCCCGTGGTCATTCAGCTCTCGTAATACATGGCACCGGCTCTCTACTTGCTGGGCGAAGGTTGGCAGGCAGCAAAACTGCACTGATGTCGACTGGGAAAGTCAGGGTTGGACCACTTACAACCCCCAAGACTCCGTCTCGCCTATAAATACGACACGATGTGGGCAAATTGGACGTCGGCTTTGGGCAAACAAGGCTCCCACCGTTCGCTCAGTAGAGCTCAGATGACAGCTCTCCCCGTATTCAGACCCCAAAGGTGAAGCGCCTTCTCCAAAGGTCTTCTCCAGGCTCTTTCTTGTACTGCTGAATACGAAGCTGGAGCTGAAGGGCTGAAGTCTGTGACGCCGGTTATATTCCCCTTCCCTCTTCGTCATCATGAAAATCCACGTCTTCTTCTCTTTATTTGGAAATCGTTCTATCTCTTATTTTGAACAGACTACTCAATATCATAGGAGCAGCAGCCGCAGCTGTCATCATCATGCGTTATCACATTTTGGCTAGCCCTATCCTCTTCCTCCTATGGCTCTCCTCGACTATAGCGAACCCGCTATCCAATGATGTGCTAGACGGGCTACAACCTCTCGAAAAGAGGGCAGTACCGCCCCTGCCAACTGATGCCGTTTTCGTTAACACGGTACTGGCAAGAGTCAACGCCTATCGAGCCTTGCATTCTGCACCCGCCTTGGCCTGGGACACAGCCCTCGCGCAAAGCGCAAAGACAGCCGCCGCAAGATGTAGTTCCAGCCATACTGTAAGCATTTCACTGCCCTTCCGATGCCTTCTCTGCCGAGCGATCATTTCAACCCTCCGCCTGACATTTTCATTTCAATCAGCCTAGTAACCCATATGGCGAGAACATCTACAACTTCTATCTCACCCCGAAGACCACAGTTCCCAACTTTACCCTCTGGCTCAAAAAGGGAATTGACTGGTGGTATGGGGAAGTCAGGGACTACTTTTCGTGGGCCGACCACTCTTCTCAGTATCATTTTACACAGTTGGTGTGGAAGAGCACCACCAAGATCGGCTGCTCGTGGTCCCCGAATCAATGCCCGACGACCAACGGCGATTATTACCTCTTCTGCGAATTTCAGCCGAAAGGTAACATCGCAGGACAATTTGACACCAACGTCCTCGATGCTTGAATGGAAGAGAGGAAAGGGGGCCTGCGAGAATGTAATTGTCGAGAATTGTCTTTTTTTTCCCCCCTCGAGCGCTGATCGAGAACTATTGGCCCGGGGAAGCCTTGTGGTTGAATTTTTTTTTATTCACTCACCTCGCCTGTGATACGCAGCTCAGACAGGTTGGTCATGATTTCTGGTATTTCAACCAATTCGTATTTAATCAATATCCGTACTGCCTTTCTACGCTAGGCTGGTAGACCCTTCGAGGGCCTTCGTTTTAATGTAGATACGGAAACACTTTCTGGAAGGACTCTCGCTCCATCATGTTCGCCCACCACTGCTTTGTCTTAGGCCCTATTTTGAAATCAGGCACGGTCTTCCGGATCACAGTCTCCAGCGGGCCAAAGTCGCCAATCTCCTTGGTGCCAGCCCCCCACATTGCATGTGCCAGCCAAGGGACAATGTGCAAATCGGCCAGCGTCACCTCGGGTCCTGCGGCGTACGGCAGGACAAGCAAAGAGTCCAGAGTGTCAACACCTGCGGCGAAACCGCGATAGTCGTCCTGGCTTTGCTTGAAGAACTCTTGGTGATTGCCAGACGAGACGTAGTGCTTGTAGATGGCGGCGTTCATGTCTCGTCTCAATTTGTAGAAGTCGCTGTCTGGGAACTGTTCGCAGTAGCTCTCCAGCGTGTTCTGCCTCTGAGAGAGAAAGTCGCGGAATGGGCTGTTTTGCTTGGCCTCCATCTCTTCGGGATCACGGGCGTCGAGGAGAATGATATTGGTGCTGACTTGGGGGGAGTGGACGAGGTCAATTAGCTTCTCAATCTTGAGAGACGTGGCGTCGTCCTTGGGTGAGAGATCCAAGCCCGAGGGCCGAGAATCGTTGAGATAGACGAGGATGTCGCTACTTTCGATCAAAGGTTCTGGGAGCGAGGGACTGGTTAACGACGGTATCGTCCCGTTGCGATTGATCTTCACATAATCCGGATGGAAATTGCCGGCGCCCACTGGCATTGAAGCCCGTTCATCAGCCTGGGAACGTCATACTAAAATGGCAGGGCCGTACTTACGCAAATCAACGTCTTCCACTTCATAGCTCCCTTCAGGATACCCTTTCTCGGCAAGACCCAAGAGAGGGACACCTGCCCATTGAGAAGCGGTGGAAGAATAGATTTTGAAAAGTGGGTTTGCGTTCCCCATATCCCTTAGATTTTGGACGAGTTCCGTGACGGAGAATTCTCCTCAAAACTGAGTGCAGCGTACGAAGACGGTAAAGAGATTAAAGTATGAAATATAGTGATCTGTGTCTCGAATCCAGCATGTGAGGACAGACTTGGAGCGCCTTTTATCCTCAGCCGCAATCCGATATGTAGCAAACGGGTCAATTTGAGGGCAATGTTGAATACCGCATTGGGCTAGAGTGGCACATTGTGATTCGACTAGGCACTGGAACACGAACTCTATTGTTTCCAAATCCACGCCGGGTGATGCCGGTGGCAAGCCGGAATAGAGATCCATAATCAGGGGGATAGAACGGGATTAATAATGAATCCAATAGATCCTATGCCCTAGTCGAGATATCATTGAGTAATAACCGAAGCGCTCGCTCATGGCCAAGTCTTGTCTAACCAGGGCTGTGATGATGACGATGATGAAGACCAAGGTGTTGTATCATGATTGTCACCACGGTCCTTCGAGGATCGTTGACAAGACTGCTGACTCTGCTCTTTTCTATGCATCGTTCGGGAGACCCGGCAAGCCCAGCCTGGCATGGATCGCCACGATCGTATTCAGCACCTGCCCGTCGGGCTTGACTCGCGAGTTGCTTACAACCTACAAGATACAAACACTCGGAGTCAGCATAATAATGACAGCTTTGATAGCTTGATCAATGACTGAGGGCGTTGGGTTTCAAGGAGGTAAGTGGAACGAGGGCAAGGGTGCGACAATTCCCACTCTTGACGTTCGAGAGTAAAATCTTGCATGGCTGGTTTCAGATTCTACCAGCATTTTGCACAATCCCCCGTGAAAAGGAGCAGACCACCGACATCATCCGCCGATGACAGCGAGGCCGACTGCGATGGTTATGGCTAGCGGTGACCCATCTCAATCCACCACCAGGGCACGGATGAGCCTGAATGGAAATGAGGATTGGAGTCATTTAGATGGAACACAACAGCTAACCAAGACGAGCTAGTTCACTGGTAACAGGTTCGCTGAGGAAAGCTCGAAAGGCCTGATTCGGTTCTCTTGTCCATCTTCTTTTGTTCTGCAAAACATGTGTTGACTTATCGTCCGCGTCTCTATCCGGCACTCCAATTCCAGCTTGGTTCAAACGATTGAGCCTCGGCAAGCGCGTGAAAGATCTTCAAGGTTAGTTGAGAAGCTGACTCGGCATCGGGCTCTCGATCCTATTTCCCCTCAGACCACTATGATAAGTTTCGATACTTTCCCCGCGACTCGTCATTTGGGCACGAGATGGTCCTCAAAGTCCCGGTACACCAATTGGAAGCGTGGACCAGCTTTCTCGAGGGCGAGTCTGAAATAGACCACTGAGTCGGAGGCCCGCTCGAAAGGAATCCAAGCAATGAGGAGCAAAGTATATTTATGAGAAGGGAAAAAAAAAAGGAATACATCCCCTCTTTGTTTGCCAAATCTACTAATACTAACTGACCTCCTACGCTACATACGACTTCATCAGTCCCAACCGCCCCTCTACCCATCTCTAGAAATATTCAAATTAGCTAACAACAGCATATTCACCTCCCCAACAATAGTCGGTCCCCCAATCGCGAAAGCAATGGCACAAACGTATCCCGCCGCCAACTCGCCCATCGGCAATATCGCCTCTCTCGAGGATAAAGTCGCGCTGATCACGGGCGGGTCGTCGGGCCTTGGGAGAGCCATTGCACAAGCATACGCCGCCGCAGGAGCATATGTCGTCTCAGCGGACTTGAAGCCCTCGCCTCCGCCCCAGCCCACCATCGCCGGCATGCTCAAGGACGCCGACTTGGCCACGCCCACGGTTGAGCTGGTGAATTCCAAGTGGCCCGCGACCAAGCCGGGCGTGGACAGGGCCAGCTTCGTCCAATGTGACGTGACGGACGAGGAGAGCGTGAAAGGGGCAGTGGCTTTTACCGTGCAGAAGTATGGCCGGTTGGATATCATGGTCAACAATGCTGGTAGGTCTGAGCTTTTCGGTTTCCTGGTCCCACGTATCCTCTGTCTCTGCCTGTCGTTTTCGGTCTTGCGTCTGCCCTTTTTTGCTATTTTGCGCTTTTACGCTTTTCGCATTGGCCGCGTCGTGGCCTCAATCGGTGTGCTTCTCCAAAGCTGGAAGCCCATCGGGCTGGAGGAACGGAATATGAAACACGATTCGATGACACGGGCCCCCTTCTATTATCGCCTTTTCGAGTTACAATGGTCGTTGCTTGTAATCATCTTGATATCGCCATTTCCCGGGGCCTATGTGCCTTGCTCCTTTCACCAGATTCTCCCCCTTTATCCCACCGCCAGCCATCGCACAGAGTTTTTGAGTTTTCTCTTTCCCTTCTTCCCTCCTTCCCGCAATTCCTATGTGCATACATATATACGCACCCACAATTCTCACCAACTCCACCAACCAGGAATTTCCGCCGAAACTGGCGCGAAAGACTACGCCGGCACGTTCAAACGCATTCACGAGACGTCCGTGGCGGCGCTGGACCAGACGTACGCGGTGAATATCCGGGGCGTGTGGCTGGGGACGAAGTACGCTGTGACACAGATGCTCGCCCAGGAGCCGCACGCACGGTTCTCGCACACGGGCGGCACCGCGACGACGGATGTGCACCGCGGATGGATCATTAACCTGGGTTCCATCCTGTCGAGCGTGGGATTGGCGGGGGCGTCGCCGTACTGCGCGAGCAAGGGGGCGGTGCTGAACCTGACACGCGCGACGGCGCTCGAGTACGCAAAGGATGGCATCCACATCAACGCCATCCAGCCCGGCTTCACAGACACACACATGCTCGAGAACATGTACTCCAAGATCGGCCGCGACAACATGGACGCCTTGATGAAGACCTGGCACCCCTGGGGCCACACCGGCAAGGCTGAGGACATTGCCCGGGCCGCCGTCTTCCTCGCCGGCGACGGCGCTAGTTGGATAACCGGCCAGTCGGTCGTGGTGGACGGCGGCTATCTGGCACAGTGAGTGAGTGGGTGTTCTTTGTGTGAAAAAGGGGCGTGATGACGAAGGAGAGGACGAAAGGGGAAGTCTCTCGATAACAGGGGGAGGAGAATGTTCGTGTCTGTTTCTTTCCGTGTCAGAGAAGGGAAGAGAGACAGATGGCCGTGGCAGATCTAAGCCGCCTACACTGAATACTGAAGAGACATGCTTGCACTCCATCGCAACTGCGGACTTTTGAACCCGCTCATGACATAGATCTCTCGAGACTGGTACGTTTGTTCTCCCCGGCCTGAGAGACCATGTCGACAACACCTGAGTGGGCTGATGTAATTTGCCACTGAGTAAAATTGTATACTCCCACGTACAGCAGCGGAAAGGGGGAGATGAGAAGTCAACATCGATTAGATCTGCGCGAACGTGAATCCTGTTCTTTGCCCACAATGTCGCTGAAAGTCCTTTTATAGGGGTTTACTTGCCTCATGCTTCGCTAAACAGATGCGCAATTGGAATTTAACAACGAAAGGGGCATAGCCGGCATTTCACCGATCAGAAGGACGCGGAGAGTTCATCCTTGTAACCGAGGAAAGAAAAAAGGTGAAAGGAACAAAAGACTTGCAAGCCTAGCATTCCAAAAGTGGCACGTGCATATACAAAACATGGGGAGGTTTTTTTCCCCGATATGTAAACCGATATATCGCCTTTGAGATGACATGAAAGGGTCGCTGTACAAGTCATGAACCTCGTAGCCTCACTGGGCATGATTTGAAGAGGCAGAATGAGGTCTCTTCCAACACTGATGACGCGCACAAGGGGGAGGTATATAGATAACTGTCACGTGGGGACTGTCGTTGGGATTTTGCTCTTCTCAGCTAGTTGGAATGCTTGCTCCAATTCATCGTCACTGTCGTCAGATAGTTCGTCCAGCATGCGGTCAATGAGGGCCGCCTTGTCAAAGGAAGGGTGTGTGGAGCCCACATCGGAAAATACTACTTTCTTCGGGGACGTGACCGAGGTTTGGCTGAACTGGGTTCGGAGTGGTGAGGTCTGTGATGAGAACACCTGGGCCGAGCGGAGCGAAGAATCTTGCGAAGCGTGGGAGGGTGGGTTGTATCCTGAATTGTTCGGGCTGGCCATGAAAAGAAGGGTTTCGACCGCATCTGCTTCCATCGCAGCATTCTGACTCGGAGTCCGTTGATTGGTATGCGGCCTTGAAGAGTGTACGTTTCGAGACTGGACATGGACTCCGTTGACACTCTGAAATGCCAGATTTGGGGTTGGACGTCTGCGAGAACCAGGAACAATATCGGCAGGGGGAGCAAGAGCGCGACGCGATGTGGCTGGAGGGCTACCGACCATGCTCACCAGGCCACGGCTCTCGAGAGCCACAGTGCTATCGGATGATTCGCTTTCGCTCGATTGCCGCTGATATTTTCTAGACATGGCGATCCTGGGAGAAGGCAACTGCTGCTCCTGTGGGTGATGGAACCCAGACACGGTTGACCGTGGCGATTGCGATGCCAACGACTCGACCTCGTCTAGGGAACGAGTTTGCCAACCGTTTTGAACTTTGACCATTGCATATTTCAATTTGGTGCGCAACTGTTGCGAGAGCTGAAATTTGTTAGAACGCCGAGCTTGTCGAGGCAACCGTGAATGACTTACCTCGAGAACGTTCCCTTTTGGTCGATCTGAACCGGTGCTCAACGTATAAGAATGTCCGACACCATTAGAGGTTGGAACACTATCTGCCACCACATTCACGCTGGATCTCTTGACTTCACCACTCGCAGTTCGTTTGATGCCCGACGAGTTATTCGGTGGAGGACTTTGGGAGGTGGATTCGGTCTTTCGCTGCTGGCTCCCTTCAGCCCTTGCAGCCTCCCCGGTCAACCGTTCCTCCTGCTGTGAAAAGGTCTCAGTTGCCTGCGATCCTCCAGAACTCGATATGGCAGAAGTCGGGGGCGGTGTCTCGCCACGGTCCGCCGGCGGATTATCCACGCCGCCAGATGTGTCGCTGATAGACAGGTTCAGGTTCGTCGGTTGGGAGGAATGGGAAACATTCGAGTCTCCAGACTGGCGAGCGGAGCGGAGAGATTCTGGCGGCAAGGGTGCAGGTGTCAAGTGAGGTGGATCCGGCATGGCTGAAGCATCAGGCACCGTGGCATGCTGCATATTCGACTGGGTCGATTCGGCGATGTCGGCCACGCTCATGAGAGATGGCAGGCCTCGAATAACGATGGCTTGGGATCGCGACGTTTCACATACGGGGAGGAAGACAGCACCAGGAGGAAGAATAGGAAGGGAACGACGGGGCAGCGAAGAGTTGTCGCGTGGGAAGCGTGGGAAGCGGTCGTGACTCGTGTGGCAGCAGTGGAGTTCGAATCCTCGCAGTCTGGTCGAGATGGTGGGGCGAGGACCGGATTGCGTTGCAACGCGTTGTTGCGTGTTCGGGTCAGTGCCGACGCGTGGTGATTTGGTGCGTGGGCGAGGACGAGATGGAAACGGAATTGCAGCAAACAGAATAGACAACGAACATCAACGGCGACAGAGACAGAGACAAAGACAGCAGGTTTGCGGGCTCATCTCGCCGTGGGTGAAATACGTGCTGTGATATCTGAGGATGGTGACAAAGTTTTGCTCGTGCCATTCACGCGCTTTTCTCCTGTGCTCCGTTTTCGCTGCAGGTCATCGTCATATGGTCGTCCCGTCATACCGTGATAATTACCCTCACTATCCCTTCAAAGGCCTGTGTAATATCGGCTTTGAGCACGCTCGGGCCACCGTCGTTATTGTCTATCGCAATCTTTCGCATACCAAGTACATGGATAGCGCAATGGAAGGGGTATCATATTCGACGTCGCATGTATCGTCACCTCTAAACTGACCAGACATCATCGTTTAGACCGTTTCCCTCCTCCACCGTTGCCCTCGTTCGTCTTCCGCTTTCGTCCCTCCCGTCTCCAAAACTCGTCTCGCTCTCTCTTCTCTCGCTCTTCCTTCTTCTCTAGGTTCTCAGCCACCTTCTTGCGATAGACGGCCCGTCTTTCTTCCTGCTTCCTCGCCCTCTTCTCCGCTTTCTCATTCCTCAAGGTTTGTAGCTTTTGCATGAGGTCCCGTGCCTTCTTCTCTTCTCCGCCCAAAACAACTGCTCTTTTCTGGAGATACGTCGGTGCTTTGCGTGCCTTCTGTTGGGTGATTTGCGACTTGAACGGAAGGTCCGCGGCCAGCGTCCGTGGAACCCTCAGGGGATTGAAATGTCGAACTGGCCGATCAATCTTGTGGTACGCTGAATCTTTCACTAGTGGGGTCGGTATACCCATCGCTGCTCGCACGGCGCCAGTCAGACGCATGGCCTGCCATCCGCTGGATCCGTCGTCAAGGCCTTGTCTTTCCTCCCCGGCTTCTGCACCACTTGTGGGAGGGGCATCCAGGAGATTGGTGACTGGGTTGTAAAACCGATGCGGTTTCACAGGATACCATGCCCGCAAGAAAACGATATCAGACATGAGAATCTTGTCCTCGAATGTCGCTCGAAAATGCCCTTCAGGCTTGCTTAGAGCTCTCTTGATCTGTCCACGAATGCCAGAAACTGTACGAATGCCAGCTCCTTCAAACTTTGCAATTTCCAGCGACGAATTGAACATGTCGCGAATGAAGGCCGTGTTGCGGAAGATCTTGTACGGGTACCCGGTCAGCTTGAGCTTCTTGACAATCTCGGTGGTCTCATCGACGTTCAGCACCACTCCGGTTGCAGCTATCCTGAACCCTGGATTGGCGTTTGAGAATGATTGAACACAGCAGAATCCCGTGTTCGGAGCAACGAGTGGTCCGTAGAAAGTGCCAAAGCAGTGCATATGCTCGGGTGTATATTTTAGCATTCGATTGCGGGTCCGCGAGTCCGATATTGAGTAGAGAGGCAATGTTTGGAACCGCCGCCAGCCGAGCGAGAAGATCAGTGGGTCGTTCGTCTTGAGAATTTTCTTGTGCCACCGATGTCGTTTGATGCGGACCTGCACAAACCCAAAGCGATCTTCAGTTGGCGCCAGTCCGCCGACAATGACGGGTAGCTTTGGATTGAACGACCGCACAAATTCGAAAGGCACTTGGTCCAACACTATCCGCGCGTATGTTCCGGCTTTAAAACCTTCGGCTCTTGCTCGCGAGATGGGGTCGAGGCTGTCGAATTCTGCTCGGTTGATGTCGAGTTGTTTCTGGAGCATTGCTTTTTGGGCGTCGTACCATTCGTCTTCCCCGAACTCTTGCTCTGTTGCCTCGATATCCTTCTTTACTGCATTGGCGAAGCCTTCTCGGTCTTCTTCCTCGAAGCGTAGCTTTAGTTCTTCTTTGCGTTTGGCATTTTTGGCCCGCTCTTCCTCAAGCGTGAGATCAGCTGTAGCTCCCGAATCCTCATCTGCTGCATCTTCCAGGTCTTCGAATTCGCCATCTCCTTCGGAAGATTCGTCACCTCCATTTTCATCGCCTTCAGCTCCTGAATCTGCATTACCACCAGTAGAAAGTGAGGCTTTAGTGAAACGGGACATAAGCGACTGAATATGCGCATCGTCTTCCCACTTCTCCGCTAACGCGTCGTAGTCGTACTTTGGCGTCTGCCGATCCTCTAGGTTGGTTTCTTGATCAGTCTTCGCTTTCTTAAAGAAAACGTCGTCTTCAACTTCACCCTCCTCGGCAGCCACCTCGTGTTCCGACTTTCGTCCTGCCCATTTTGAAATAACTTCGGAGGCAGACAGACTGAGGTCATACATCAATCTGGAAAGATCGGCAGCTCGGAACGCGACTTTGGTGGAATGCAAGTTGCGAGCACTCTCAGCGAGATTCTCTTTCCATCGCAGACCTCCATCGTCCTCATCCTCGTCTTCGGAGGCCTCAAGTTCATCGGCCAAGAGATCTCTGCTGCCGTCGTCGTCATCTGAAACAGAGCCCATATCGGAGTCGCTTTCAGCAAATGCAACATCATCTACACCTTCACGCTGGTCAGAATCATCTTTCACGATGAACCCAGGTCTGCCCGTATGCTCGGGGAAGCCGTTGATGTCCTCTTCAGCTGCTTCTTCATCGTCCTCCCCACTCGTGAATCCTTCATCTTCGTCATCTTCCTCTTCGACGTCTTCAGCCAAATCGCCATTGTCATCAAACGCGCGGATACCCCTCATTGTCTTGCGGCCAGTATCGTTTTCTGCGGTATCATTAGAAGTAAGCTGTCGACTGCCCTGAAACAGCCGTACACCACTATCCACCTGTCCAAGTAGCCTCCGTTCTGATTGTAGACTCATCATAAGTTGTTCGCCTAGCCCTCTCTCCTCGATATCTTCTGCGTCCCGGTCAAACGTATTCGTCTTCACGTCTATGTAGACGGCATCTTTATCAACCAAAACGCCACCAACATCAGACATAGGCGCAAATAAAACCTTTTGCTTCTCTCCCAACTTTCGACGGTGAGATTTGCCGCTTGCTTTGGCTATCGCTTGGTCGAGGAACGGCGTTGGACAAGGATCAGGCAAAGCTTCAATTTGCTTGACAGTCAAGTCTCCCACACCCGGGATGTGCACTCGGGCGCCCTCCGCCGGAAAGTTTGTGCCCCGAAGGTAGCCATACAGTGCCACCTGTCTGTCGCATTTTTCGTTCTCTTCAATCTGGGTAGGTGGCGTCACATCCAGGAAACGGTCTGCGAGACAATACGGGTGACTGTTCCTCCATATCAAGGGTCTCGGATTCTTCATGACCGAGAGAAACCTCGACAGATTGTGGATCTCGCGGTCGGGGTATCTCCCATTGATCACACCAGACAAATAGAACAATTTTGCGCCATGGTACAGCTCCGACCAGAACCTATGCTTTAATCTCTTTTTGGCCGCACGGAGCGTGCTCTGTTTTTTGAACAAATCCAAATGTGTGAGAATGCCAAAAACATTTCCTGGCATGCCAGAAACACTCAAGGCGTTCAGAAACTCCATCGTCTCCATCTCGAAACCGTAGTTGCCGTCAATCATGAGGAGGACAATATCGGCTATCTTCGCAACGTCGATCATGGCGGCGAGCGAGTCGGAGGGACATTCGAGGAAGGTGAGGCGCCTTCTCTTGGAGGTCACCACTGTAAGAGGCCCTGTCGGGTGCGACAGCGTTTGTTTTGCATAACGCCTGATCAGGCTCTTAATGAGAGTAGTTTTTCCGACACCGGGAGGGCCGACGACGGCAACGACGATGGGAGGGGCTTCTTCTGGAATTCGGTCGACTTGAGGCACATGGAGGCGCTTTTCTTTGATATCGCTGGACCGCACGGCCTGCTTTGCAAGTCGCCCTGGTCTTGCGACGGCGAAGGCCTTGACATTCTTTTCCCCCTTTTTGGGTTGCTTTTTCTCTTTCGAGGGCCGATGAGGCCTGTTGGCTTGAGACTCCATAGTGCTCCGCGGCCCTTCACCACCTCCACCGCCAACTCGCAGAAATAGGAAGTTTGGGAAACTGCACCGCCAGGGAGGAAAATTTTGGGAGGGTATGCAAGGTGTGCCACACTGCGGAGGTGAAATTTTGTCCGAGGTTTAGCCGTTGGAGCTGGGCGAGGGCAGACGAGGGCTTGGGGGGAAGGGGGAAATTTGGTGTACAGCTCCGTACTTCAAGATAAATGGTACCATATACTTTCTCCTTATATCCACTTGGCCCAGACACAAGAGACGTCTAATGGGAAACACTCAGTTCTCTATCTCATGCGGGCAATGCCCAAAGATCCGTGTTTCATTATGATTACGGTCCAACAATGTCCTGCAAATCATCCAACCTCGTTGCATCGGTCCAGGCAATAGCTTCCTCTCGATCCCGACATACGCGAGGCTTTCGGTCACCCAGGCCTTTCTCTTTGGCTTTTTGGTTTCTGTGCCTATTACTTCTGGACTCACAGCTGAGCTTCGTGGCCGAGATGTGAGAAGGAGACATGGGGTAACTGAAATCCGAACGCAACTCCAATGAGCACGAGCTAACAGCAGATGGCGTCCATTGGTTTCCGTGGCGTCGAAAGGCTGCCAGGGCAGTGATATCCGATATCGAGCGTCGCCATCAAGCCGAGACTCAAATTGTTGCCAAGGAGGCAGCAAAGGCGAAAGGCAATCAAGCTCGCGATAAGCGATACCCACACCATACCGAAGCACAGGTTGCGGCCAAAGAAGCAGCGGCCAAGCATCGCCAATCGCGAGAGCCACATCACACAGAAGCGCAACTTGCAGCAAAGGGAGCAGCGGCCAGGCATCGTCAATCGCGAGAGCTACATCACACCGAGGCACAGATCGCGGCCAGAGAAGCAGCGGCCAAGCATCGTCAATCGCGAGAGCCTCGCCACACGGAAGCGCAAATTGCAGCGAAGAAGGCGGCGGCAAACATGCGTCAATCTCGGGGGCCTCGTCACACCGAAGCTCAGATCGCGGCCAAGAAGGCGGCGAAAGCTAAGAAGGGACAGAACTGAGTGGGATGCTGAGTGTCAGTCTTGCCGCGTTCTGAAAAATCTGTATCTACTTGTAAGCAGCAGTAAGCGGAAGTCCAGAGACTCGCCTGGTCTGAATCAGTACCCAGTATATCGTGACATTTTCAAGCAATGAAAGGAACAAGGATGTTGAAATACCTCGAAGCATCAAAGGGGTTTCAAAGATCTATAGTCATAAACACGCCTGGTAAATCATGAATGGCGATGTATGCTAATCTAAGCTTCGTTGATACCCAGTTCGATCCTGCTCCTTTGTCGTTACCTTATTTGGCGAGACCGAGTGAAATGTCTTACCTAGCCGTTTCGTCTGGAAGAGCAGATGTAGAAGTGCATAAATATTTCTCTTGCACAAGAGGTTGCACAACTAAATTTATATAAATTGGGTGAACTCCCCGGCGTCGGACTAGGGAGTGACTAGCCCATTAGACCGTTTTCTGCTTGAGCGACTGCTGGACGTTTAGTGCGGCTCGAGTACCCTCTTCAATTGCGCCGTCGATGAAGCTTCTCCACCCAACAGCCCAATCCGAGTTTGCAAAAGAGATGTTCCCGTGGGAGCCCCGCAAATCCTGAAGATACTTGGTTATGAATCCGGGGGCCGAGAAGAACCTAGAGATAGAGTTTTAGCTGGTGCACATACCCATTGCTAATAGTGCGTACCATGCGCCTTGTGCGAATTCATCCTCAGTCCAATTGTGGAAAACCTGCGCAAAGTATATCAGTTGGATGATGGTCGCACCGGATGGGTAGTGATGAGAATTTACCAGTCGTTTGATATCCATTCTGGTCAGGTTCTGCAACGCGCGCTTGGTGGCTTCTACATCTCGCTCAGGATGGAGTTGGTTTTCACTTGGCCCAAATGCGACAATATGTGTATTGTTGTCTGGGGTGATACCATCCCCGAATGCGAAGGTTAGTGGATTGCAACTCGAATTGAGCCCGGTCCAGGACCTGAGATCGAGCCCCCGGGACTCGCAATGCACCTTCGACATTTTGTTCACATGGCCGATCTTGATGGCTTGTGCCTTGGCTGAAGGGAGCGGTGGCGAAAATGATATCGTGTGCAGGACGTTCAGAGGAATGGTGCAAACCACCTTTGAACCCCTGAAGGTCAGTCCTGACGCCGTCTGGATGGTGATATCCTTCCCGGAATCAACAACGCTGGTCACTCGATTGTCGAATGCGTAAGCCAGCTTGCCTGTGGCGAGGGCTTCCTGGAAGAACTTGATGGCAAAGCTTGACTGGCCGCCGCGGAACTTATACTTAATCATGTCCTCAACCCAGCCTTGGTATGAGTGCCCACAAAGTGCCCACCAATGTAGAAATTCATAGAAACTCGTGTTCTCAGGAGTGCCACCGCTGGTTGCTAGAACCCATTCTCTGGCAACGGCAAGCTCGTCCGGAGAGAGTGAATGTTCGACTTGTTTCAAGCGGTCGGACAGGGACAGCGAATCGAGTTTACTCGTCTCTGGCACAAAACCCTCGTTGTGCGGAAATGGCATGGCCTTCTTGCCTTCCACATCATCAACGTTGGCGAGCTTGCGAAGAGCTGATTGTATCAGTGCGTCCTGAGGCTGATCAGCAGACTAGTCTTTCTCAACCACCACGGTCTCATACCTCTTCATGGTGAGCCATGTCCCTCTGCCCATATTTGGTCATCAATGTAGAGAAGTTCTTGCCTGTCGACTGGTTTGGTGACACTTCGAGTTGATCACGCATCTCATAACGTGAGATCTCTCTCCAAACATGCGGTTGACGCCACGACACCCAGGTACCTCCCATCTCATAAGGGTAACTTCCAATGTTCGAAGACCATGAGCGGCCTCCAATGCGATCACGAGCCTCTAGAATTAACGTGCGATAGCCTGGTCCTTATCAGCACACCGGCATTGGGCTTTGCAGGTACGCTTATCTTACCGGCCAGAGTCAAATCACGAGCAGCCGTGAGGCCCGCGTACCCAGCTCCGAGGACGACAACATCATAACCCGAACTATTCTCGCCCTGCAGGTTCGACGGCGGCTCTATTTTCCCTATGCATGGAAGACCTTTCACGAGCCCTTCCGTGGCGTTCCAGTGGTATCCTTCCCGGGACAACATCACGACAGATTCTGGGGGAGGCAACCCAAGTTCAAAAGGCCACAACTTATAACAAAAGAGTCTAATCGACAAGCTCGCAACGCGCGGCACCTGGCACACGGCGACCTTCTAACTTATATATGTCTTTGCCATTAGGCGGTTGACACCAAGATTCGGATATTCGCGATATGTGGAGCACTTATACGATTCATCGAGTCGCCCTATGGTGTAGAGTATTTCCTGGTAAGCGGAGTCGGTAGCTTGCAGAGCGCCAATGATTGCTCGACATTGCTTTCAGTGGAGAGTGGGAGGCTCGCATGGACATGCCATTCTGGGAAACCGAAGACCTTCGAAATCTGGCGACGATGGTCAAAGGCACAACGGAGGCGTATGATACCTCACGAGATCCCCGGAAAAATGGTTCAAAATTTATACCCCATCATCTCTATCACCTTGCAACTCTGGTCCAGTTGTTGAACTCGGTGTATCCGCTGGAAATCGGACAGGTTGCCTTTTTTCTCTGGGCAAGGCTCGGACAACTCTGACCCGACGAAGGCTGTGATGACCATAGGGATGAGACGGGCCTGAACCGCATGAGTGACACCAGTGCAAGTATCCACGGCCTTGTGTGTAATATTAGTGTTCCTGGAGTAAGTTGTGTACACGCCAACGCCAATACTTGGCCGGTTCATGGCGACTCGAATCTAGGTGACCACCTCTTACGCCTGTTCTCTGTAATCGTGAATATACCCTCTTACCCTCAGCTCACCACTCTGTCCCGCTTCCTCCAATAGACGTCTCCGCAGCGTGGTTTGATATTGTACAATCTTACCAATCAAGTCAGGCTAGCTGATGTTGGATAGAGTACACATGGACAAATTCTCATCCCTGAAGCATAATCATCCCGCGTCGGGATCAGATGGTTTTGTAGATGTAAGACCTGAAATTGCGAGTCTACTATTGCCTCAACTCATCCTCTGGATGATCCATAAAATACTCTGTAAAAGGCCGAGTCTCGCCTTGCCGGTGCCGAGCGATGTTCGCTACTCTTTCTCACTCGAACGTCAACCTCCCAATATTCCACTAAATACGAGTGTTCTCGGCTTCTGAAACTGCTCCTAGGAAAGATCATGCTAAATGTGAGACTAAGAACTGTCTAGCTGGTTGAGGACATGGGCCTATTCTCAGAGATGGCTGTCTATCTGTCCTTTCAGCGACTTCATTCCCTTATATAGACGTTTGACCTGTGTCAAGAAGGCTGCCACTGAACCATAGCGAGGCCATCGTTCCATGATTTCGCGGTCGATCAAACAGGCTCTCAAACTAGCTGGATACTCGATCTATCCCACGGTACATCTTCCACTGGCGGTCTCGCGTCGTCAGGTACCACTAGTGTTGCCTCCACAGGAGGGCCGGTTCCGGGGATTACTTCATCCCGTGTCACCTCGATCGGGTCTCCCACAACGACTCTCGTCGCTACTTCACTGCTACCGCTTCGTTGCCATCAAGGAGTTCAAGGCCTTCGACGACTACCCAAGGCCCCATTTCCTCCAGCATCTCCGTTAGGGCCGTTTCCAGCTTAAGCTCCCCATCTATTAGCAGCTCGAGCGGCAGCGCCTCCCCAACAATTATATCCTCAATAGAGACTATAGTCTCGCCGAGTTCGCTTTCCGTTAGTACTTCTACTGGTAGTAAGAGCCCATCCTCTGTAAGCAGTCTCTAATTAACTAATGCGGCTACCTCGACCGGCACTACGTCCCTAGGATCGAGACAACTTCCGCAGTGACCGTGTCAATCCCTGCAACCCCGTCAGAAACTTCTCATCCATCTTCAAGCATGATGGCGAGATCGTCGGCGGCGTCATTGGCAACGTGGTCTTTATGGCTCTTTTGATCCTAGGTGCATATTTGCTCTTCCGACGACGACGACGAGGAGCAGCCACCCACCGGACACCGATTGTCACATGATATGACTCTCACATGACGGAAGGAGCACGGCTTGGCATGGCCTATGTTCTTAGTTCTCTTCCCCTCTCTTCCTTCATCTTTCAGACTTACTCCTCGAGAGACAGCCCACTAGATAGACACAACACCTTGAGCTATTGCAGCCATTCCTCGCCATTGAGGCGATTCATTCCTGTTCCCGTACCACGTTCCCGAGATACCACACCGATCCAGGAGGTCAAATTCGGATCAAGATGCAACAGACCCCTTGCCATCGTCCTATGATCACAATAAATACCAGGCTGTCCCACAGGGGCCGTTTGCGGAAATAGACCCCCGATCTAGCTGTGGAAGACCGAGAATACAGTGCAATGGATGCCGATGATGGGGAGGAGAGGCGACCAGATGGTAGAGCTGAAACGTGAGCGAATGAGCCCATTCCCAAGAATGCCACAGCACGAGAGTCCGACAGAGAAGACTATTTGCCATCCGACGTACCGTACATTACACGGTCAGCGCGGATGGAATTGTCCAGTGCCAGCCACACTGAGCTCCGCCAAGCGGGTACTCCAAAGTCTAGGCAGTCCGCCATGGGACCTATCGAATAACCTAGCGGACATGGATATTGAATGATTGCTGATGGCCCTGGGACGTAGGGGACGTAGGAGACGTAGGACGTGGGAGATCGAACCTCTTCCAAGGTCGTAGAATATCCGCCGTGGTGGTCCTACTTCTTTTAACTTGTGGGTTGGTAGAAAATTGCGGGAATTGGGGGTCACCTGAGACATAGACAGGCCAGAATGAGTCAGTGCCAGCAAGTAAAATAACTCTTTTTATGTAAAAAGACGATGAAACTCGTGATGCTCCTTGGTGGACCGCGGACTGCTGTTACAAGTCTTCCACAGTTGTTCGCCGCGATCTTCTTTAGGGCGGTCTTGCAATTTGGCCGATGACACGAAGTACTTGTACGGATCTTACTCGTCTCCCGATCCGTCAAATGCCAACCTGCCGCTCGCTGAGAGCTGTTTCGTATTACCTTAGTCTTGAAGAGCTGGGGCACACGCAATCAAGTCGTTGTGTTTGCACCCTTGAAGGCCAACTCCCTGCGATCCCTCCAAATCGTGCACGGATTGAAACGCCAGGCGCCGCGATGACGCCTCGCAAACAAATAGTGGATGATACACGGCACAAAGAATGGGACAGATGGGAAGTCATGCAACCCGCCTTCGAAGCTTCTGTCTGCGGTCCCAAATACGAGGGGTGCGATTCGATACTAAGACGGCATCAGGTCAGTGGCAGTTGATGGGTTATGCTTGTACACCACAGGGACATCTAACATTGTCCGTAGCCATTAGGCACTTCTCCAGACGCTTGTAAGCCTGCCGGACACGCTCGCTGTCATACGCGTCTAGAGCTCGTAGAGTGTCAATCTCATCACGCAGATGTCGAGACAATGACTCTCCAAACCCTTCGATCAGGCTCCTGACCTTCGCTCCGTCATAGTCTTGAGGAGGACAAGTCCGCGCGTATTCCTGAAACAGGTCAAACCCGGGTGTGAATGCTCGGTGTTGCTCTATATTGCGATCCATGATTCCATGGACACCCGAGATCTGCTCGATGCTTGGGAAGAAAACCTCTTCTTCGGCATCGTGGTGGTGGTGCATGGATTCACCCCAGCATTGGCAATATGTCAAGAAGTCGCGGATCGTGCCCAGGTCTTCACGGGGGATGTGCAGCGCTTGGAGGTAGATCGAGTTTAGCCCTCGGAGGATGCCATTGTGCGCGAGCGCCATCTGCGTCGCCACATAGTATGCCGCATGTGAGGACTACGAGGATACATTCAGTTGATACAACCTTTCCAGCAGAGAAATGAGAAAAACGTACATCTTTTGAGAATGGAAGTGTGGAAATAAGGGAATACGGCTCATCCGCCCACTGAGAAGACATATTGCCCAGTTTCTCGTCTAGAATGAAGTAGTAAAACCCGCTGCCAACCCACAGTTGCAGGAGGTTGGCGAGAGATATATTGACTAGAATATACTGTTCTCTGTACTCTGTGCACCGTACACCGTAAACCACTGTCATGGACTTTGGTTGCACACGGACACTGACAAATTGATGGACACAGCCACCGAGTAAGAGTGTATCCCTCCCTGGTGGCGGCTTGATTCGACTCCGCCTTCAAAGTTAGCGCGCGGTGCAACTCCATTCCGGCGGTTGACGGGAGGAAACACAACCCGGCTTCCAAGTTGGCCGCGACCGAAGTCCTCTATTCTGTACAGGTACCAGCTAATTGCACGGAGTGCTCTTAAGCCACGAAAACCCACCCAGCGTCAATCCCATACCGCCAGTGCAACTCAACCGCAACTCATCATTACCATGAAGGTCCTTCTCCTTGGCGCAACCGGCAATCTGGGTCTTCGCCTCGTCGCAGCCCTCCTCACACATGGCCACAGCGTTGTTGCCTTCGTACGGTCCCCGAATAAACTCGAGTCTCTCATTCCAGCATCCGTATACCAACAAATCACCGTTGTTCAGGGTGACGCCACGGATTCAGCGGCAATCAAGAGGGCGATCTTGGACGCTGGCTGTGATGCTGTCGTCAATACTGCGGGCTTAGCGGCCTTGCCTCCTTGGGGGAAAAGTGACCTCCCCAAAATATTCCGCGCCGTCGTGGACGCTGCACGAGAAGCGGGGGCGGAGAGAAAGAAACCCTTGAGAGCCTGGCTCTTAGCCGGCCTAGGAGCGCTATATTTCCCCGGATCAGAAACATTGCTCTCGAACTAGTAAGTACAAATTTCACAAATGACATCTCTCGAGCCCCCATACACGGCCGTTCTTTTTGTCCCCTTTTCTTCGGGGGTGGAGGGAAGAATGGCTCCAAGATTTATCGACTCCAACAATTCTAAGAACCAATATGCAGCATTCCCATCTACCTAGAACACCGCCAGAACCTGCAGCTTCTTCGATCCCTCCCTCAAAACACGATTGACTGGTCCCTGCTTTGCCCGGCTGTCATGACCCCTGAAAGCTCAGAGATCAAGGTCCCTACGGCAAGTTTGTATGGAAAGCTGATCGGCAACGCTTGGTCTCCACCGTCATGGCGAGATTCCTGGGTCAAGCACATCCCCTTGATCGGGAAGGTGATTTTGTGCGCCATGAATGCTCAACGCTATGAGACCACGCTTGAGCAGAATGCAGAGTTTATCGCGGATGACCTCGAGAGCTACGAGAGTCGCTGGAGTGGAGTGACGGTAGGAGTGATCGACCCGTCAAAGTGAGTTGAATTGGTGGTTCAGACAAGGGCGGAACGAGTGACGACTGTTTTCTCTTGGGTTTCGAATATAACATTCTCCTCGATGAGTTTGATAACTCTTGTACGATTTTTACGCATACTCCGTATAATGCAATGCTCATAGGCGGTCTCTTTGACTAAACCGCACCAAATTCTAGTTACGATAGGCAAACCTGATAAATGCCAAGAAAAAGGCCAGCCAACGGACGGAAAGGGAGACAGGGCAATCATTAGGTTTTTCGTTCTCGACTCGCGAATAATCTAGGTGGCGACATAAAATTCGAGACTGAGCATTGCCAGTGAACCGCGTATCTTACAGTAGACAAGGATTGATAACACCATAAGCCTTGCCCTCTTCATCATGGCAACCTCCTTGAAACAAGAGGTCAGAGCCGCAACAGTTTACACAAAACAGTCGCCAGATCGTGGAAAGGGTATTTTTGCAGTACATGATATCGCACCCAAGTCAGAGGTCCTTTTTGTTGCGCGGCCGCTTATGGTAGCACTAGACACTTCGCAACTACAAACCCGTTGCTATTACTGCTACAGTTCCCCTGGAGACCACAGTCTTCCTCTTGACATGACTAAAAGCCGGACGTTGAAGACGTGCAGCGGGTGCAAAGTGGCCAAATTCTGTGGCCAGGTACGTTTGTCGCACTGCTGCCCTCAGACAAGAGAACTCAGGAATATAGTGTTCTAATTTCGTATGCAGAAGTGCCAGACTCGGGCGTGGTCAGAGTATCATCGGCTGGAGTGTAAGCTCTACGGTAGATTGCACCCTCGGATACTTCCTAGCACAGTCAGAGCTATTGTTCGATTACTGAAGCAGCACAAGGCACATCTTCTCCCCCATTCTGAATGGGATCAGCTTTTGGCACTAGAGAGTCATCAGGAAGATTTGCTGAACGCGGGAGGCAAGCGTTGTCAGGAAATCTTCATAATGATGAAAGGCATTAAATCCTATTGTGGTACTGACCACAGTGAGGAGACGATACTTCGCCTGGCTTGTGTGGTAAGCATGCCTTCAGCGCCTGTCGTGAAGTAAAGCTGAGAACCCTCAAGCTGCTCATCAACTCGTTTACTCTTACAAATCCGACGTTCGACTCTTTGGGATTAATCCTCCACCCAACACCAGCCCTTTTGAACCACTCTTGTGATCCGAATGTGTTCGTGAGATTTGACATCCCGCCGGTGGGCGCTCAAGAGGACTTTCCACCTTACGGAAACATATCTTTCAACGCGTTGCGGCCAATTGCCAAAGACGAGGAACTTACGCTTTCTTACATTGACACAACCTTCCCTTTTGACAAAAGACAAGAAGAACTGAAAGATAGGTATTTCTTCACTTGCAATTGCAGTTTGTGCTCCAGAGGTCGACACTCTACTAGAGACAGTTTTCATCCGCTCATCAATGTCGTGGTGCCAGATCCATTGCAACCAGCGACTCCTGCCATAATTGCGGAGGCTGGCGACCAGGCAGAGCAACTCTTCATAGGATTGCAGTCTCAAAGCGGACTTGAGCACACCCAAATTGACAGCATCAAACACATCATGCATCGCTTGGCACAAACGAGAGGCTGGCCACTGCACCGGTACCCTTACCCTCAGTTGCGGCAGCAATTGCTCCTCGGGCTACTCGACTCCGAGAGGTATTCAGAGGCATTCTTGCACTCGGGAGCATTTGTCAGAGCAATACATCCTGTTCTATATGAACAAGAGTATCATCCAACCCGAATTGTGCAGATGTTCACATGCTGGAAGCTTTGCCACCTGTGTTTGGAATCCGGTTTGCTGAAGGAGAGAGGGTCGGACAACACCCAACTTGACCCACGGATGCTCATGTCCTTGAGCTGTGTGATGATCGATGACATTCACAGAATCCTGAACGAAGGGGTCCGGTCGAACGGAAAGCTGGAAAATATGGTTCATGAGGCACTTCAAAATGTAAGGAAAGAAGGCGTCTTCTGGAACGAATACCGGCAAAAGATGGCAGAGACACGTGAAACTGCGCTCTCGTGGATTGATGACCAAGTCAGAGCATTATTCAGGAATGAGGACGTTTCCCGAGACATCATCGACTGGGTCTTCAAACCACGAGGCTGATTCTTTGGCCCCCAAGCTCGAAGGATTGGGGCTGTGCAACTGAAACCCCCTTTGGAAGCGATCGACCCAGAGCGCGAAAGCTCCTTTGCTGATCAACGCTGGTGCCTGGCAGGAAATATTACACCTCCAAATAACCCCCCTCTCCATGGTCCGTACTACTTCACCACGCCTATTACTTCGATTTGTAGCTCACGACCTTGGCGCTTTGAAAGCGCCCAAGTGAAGCGTCCCAGCGGCTGTGGGCGAATAAGACCAATGGATTTCCACAATGCTCAAGAAGCCATGGAATCGGTCTCTGGCGCCTTTTTCCGCAACGCCACAGCGTCCCGCGTCGACACTGACGCGGTCATATTTGACACCATCTCCAACGCCCATCCCGGCGTACCCATCACTATCGTCCCGGAATTCAACTGCAACTTGAAGGCCTATGCTGCAGCTGGCCATGCCTCGATCGAGGTTCTTGAACAAAGCAATATTGACCCCAAGATCTGGCCGGATTCGCTCAGATGGACCTTGTTTCTCCCACCAGTCAAGCGCATGGACGGCGGCAATGGTATTGTCGCTGAGGAGGTCTTTTTCGAAAGCTACATCTATAAATGGGGGAACCTAACGTTCTTGGTCTACTTCGTTGACGGTCGAGACGGGCTTTTGTCGTATCCGCAAGTCCGGAACCAGTATATCTTGGGCGATAAAGCGGCAGCGCGAACCCTGGTAGCGACCGTTGGACGATGGGAATCTATCCTGCATGACGAGGTGTGGGTGTTCGACAAGGGTTACTGGCAGAAGGATGCGCTCCTGTATCGGAGCATCATGAAATCTCGTTGGGAGGACGTTATTCTCGACAAGGAACTCAAGGATGATCTCATCGACACAGTCCAACGATTCTTCGATTCGAGGGAACAGTACAGCCATCTTGGTGTTCCTTGGAAGCGAGGCGTTATTTTCTACGGCCCGCCGGGGAATGGTAAGACCATTTCGATCAAAGCCACCATGCACACTCTGTACAGCCGTGACCCGCCGGTCCCGACGCTGTACGTGAAGTCGCTGGTAAGTTTCTTCCCACCAGAGTTCAGCATCGACACGATTTTCCAGAAGGCCCGACAAGAAGCGCCCTGCTACCTGGTCTTCGAAGACCTCGACAGCCTCGTCACCGACCAGGTGCGCAGCTTCTTCCTCAACGCCGTCGACGGCCTCTCCGAGAACGACGGCATCTTCATGATCGGCAGCACAAATCATCTCGACAGGTTGGACCCCGGTATCGCCAAGCGCCCGTCCAGGTTCGACCGGAAGTATCTGTTCGACAACCCGACCTTCCAGCAGCGGGTCCAGTATTGCAAGTATTGGCAGAAGAAGCTGCGCGATAACAAGGAGATTGAGTTTCCAGACGAGATATGTCCGGCGGCCGCCAAGATCACGGACGACTTCTCCTTCGCGTACATTCAGGAGGCGTTTGTGACTGCACTGTTGGAGATTGCGAGAGAGACGGACGGAGGAGGCCGTGGAGGAGAAACAACCTCTGGAAAGGACGAGAAGATGGAAGAGCTACACGAACAGTGGGATTTGTTGGAAATCGACTGTGGAGGTCGCGTCGATGCCTTGCTCAGGGACAAGGATTTGAACGACTACATCCTGTGGAGGAAGCTGAAGCACCAGATCGAACTCTTGCGGAGGCAGATTTCAAAGGAAACCTCCCTCCGGTTGGCGTAAACCAGACAACTCCCTCTCCTGGCCCTCCTGCATCCATTCGATCAACTTTCTAAACCGACGGATACGTATATGGGGATGGGATGTTCGAACACGACGGCCACGTTTTGCGCTTTTGAATAAAACCGCGTTCCTCTTCTCCAAAGCTTTGCGACAAAGCAAAGACAAGCAATAATGAAAAGGATTGGACTGAAAGCAACAAAAAAAATGCTTTCAATGTTTTAGTTCCAAAATTTGTTGCAAGAGACACCGCTCTTGACTTGTTGGGCTAAGAATATGTTAAGAATATGATAAGGATAATTGGAGGATAATGATATGTGGAGAGAGAGAAAGTGCACAGAAAAGGGAGGGAGGCAAGGGTTTATATCCTTGTGCAGATTAAGCAGACATGAATGCTGAGAAGGTAATTGAGATAGAGTTCTGTGTGTTGGGGTGGTTCTGTGCTGAGGATCCGTTGGTTCTGTCAATGTCATCCTCAATGAATGCGCGGGCCACACCATCCACTGGTCAGGTCAGAAAGCAAAGCCTTCGAGAAAGGTACTCGTAGAAAGAGTGATAATCTGAAGGTGAATATTAGGTATGGAAAGTAGGTGTATCCGGACAGGGTACGCGACCAAATGCCCGTTCTCTTTTACTGTATGCGATGACCCTACGCAGGGGCGCAGCGCCGTGGGATTGCGTTGATTCAATCCCATGCGCACGTCCTTCGCAATTCCACCAAGTCGAGTATCTTGGAGGGCCGGCCAAATATGAAATGCCGACACTCTTGAGCAAGGTTTTCTTTCTGATACCACGTATCTCTCGTCACAGCTCTTGCGCAGCCAATGTGGAGGCTCTTGGCTTGACTGCTTTGCCGAAACTCCTGCTTCTGTTCGATTTTGCAGAACTGAACGGTCCCCAGGTGTCCGCGTGGTTCTCACAGCAAGGAGACTGAGGAGCGCGTGGTGGGATTGAGCAGGTGTTGAGTCCCAAGATGAGTATTCCACGGCAAGAGCAAGAGTGGGAAGTTGATCTTGATCTGTGGACTAGTGATTGGGTACTGTCATGGCAATGTAGGAGCAAAGCAGCGAGAAATAAGGGGCTGCTGCGAAAAACCCCTTGATGCACCAGTTGGTCCTCATTGAGAGAATATCTGGCAAAAGTGTCTTATACTTGGGTTCAGGAATGAGAATTGCCTATTAAGAGCCGTAAAAAGAGGAGAGCGTACATGGCAAGGACACATTGATGAGGACAGCAGATGTGGCACCACACAGAGAGGAATGAGGCATCAGTTTCAGATGGAAATGATCGCGAGACGCAAAGTGCGTTTTGCGGTATAAGTGCTCTGCCGAGCTCTACGGAGAAGCATATCCGTAAAGCTGTCGTAGGTTCAAACTTCTCAAAAACCAGGTCTTCCAATCACGCGTTTGCGAACTTTGTTCAACAAAAAGCGCTGTGGCCCATCTGACTGAAACAGCACCGTCTCGTCTATTTTTTGATAACATCTATAGTCTCGCATAATGTTGTCTGCGTTGCCGGCAACAATTCCTGTTGAGACGAGTGCGACACAAGATGGATGAAATGGCCCCGACTTCGAGGAAGTCCAAGACCACTTGTATGCAATGTCGTGCTCGGAAGGTAAGCGGAGGACGAATCGCTCTTGACATTGTGAGTTTGTTTGGCCAGCGGCTGAAATTAGACGGCAGGTGCGTTGCGACGGGCGTCCTAATTGTTGTCGCAACTGCGAACGCTTGAGGTTTGATTGTTCATTTCAACCGAGAGAAGCTGGTCCTGCGGGCGATTCGCCCTCAGGCGACCAATCCCTCGTTCAGCTAGAGCGAAGACGCGGGATTCGTGCCTGCACAGAATGTCGTTCTCAGAAGATTCGGTGCGGCGGAGAATCTCCTGCATGTTCCAACTGTCTTCGAAGGAATCGACCTTGCGTCTATCCTGCCCTCAAAAGGCCGCATCGGACGCCGCAGACTTCTAGCTTACCTTCGCCTGCTGTTGCGCAGCGCCCTGAAAATCAACCGCAATTCCCATCCCAGTTGGAACAGCCGGCTAGCGAAGTTGGCCAAACTCCGCTATCGAGCGATGGCGCTTTGCCGAACCGCCAAGAAATCATTTCTTTGATCGAGGCGTATTTCCAGCACATCTACGCGCTTCCCTGGTATGCTTTCTTGCACAAACGATCGGTCATGCAAAGGTGTCACGAGGGGACGATTGAAGACTGTTTGACATTTGCAATCTGTGCGGTGACAAGTCAACGTCTCAAGATTGAGCCATACGCTCGGGAGTTGAGTGCCCAGTGGGCTCAGAGGGCCGAAGACTTCCTCTTACAACATCTAGAGAGTCCTTCAACTTCTCGGCTCCAGGCTCTCATCTTGATTGTGCGATACCGGGTGGAAGTAGGTCACTTCTCGAGAGCTTTTATGCTCGCTGCACTGGCTGGTCGATCTGCCGTTGCGCTGCGCCTGAACTATGAACGCCCTGAACTACGTTTCTTGGCCCAAGAAGTCCGTCGGCGATTGATGTGGTCGTGTTTTGCCCTCGATGGCAACTTTTCTGTCGGCCTGCGAGAATTCGAGACGTGTCCGCCGGAAAACGTCTTCCTTCAACTTCCATGTCCAGAAACGGCTTTCGAGCAGGATGCACCTGTGGAGACAGCCCCGCTCAGAGCAACTTCCTTCGATAGGCCTGAGCGCATCGGCACCTACGCTGCATGTATAAGACTTGCCGCAATAAGAACAGATATCATGAGGTATACCGTGAGCTGTCGAATTGGTGGCTCTGCGCTGACTGACCCAGATTGACACGCCGGCTTGCTTCTTCCGTGGTTCCACCTGGGGAACTCATGCATATGGTGCGGCGATTTGAAGATGAGTTGCAGCACCTATATCGAAGCCTTGCCGACTCTGATCGATATAACCCCAAAATATTCTCCTACTGTGAAAGACCGGCCCGAATCCTTATGGTGCACGAATGTTGGCACCAAGCGTATACTGATCTTTACCGAATCTTTTTGACAGGGTACCGAGAAGCCGCTCCTCCTTCAGCCATGGAAGGAATTAATCGTGAAGACATCCTCCGCAGGCGTACCCTGTGCTTAAATCACGCATTGTCAATTGTTCAGATTTTCGCAGCATTCTCAGAGCAGTGTAAGGTCCTGACAATCGACTTTGACACTGCAATTTGTGCGTATCATAGTGCCCGAATCATCCTCTTTAGCGCTCAAACGGACGTTGTGACTCAGAGTTTGAGTATGCCCGCCGCCCTGGAGAAAGCTCGATTCTGTCAGTCGATCATGAACAGGTTTTTTCGCACCTCTCCCGTGGTCGAACCGATGAAGAAAGAACTCGAGATGCTCATCGCGCGGCATTCGTCTCAGAACACCAATGCTGGCATACAACTACCCCATCCTGAAGAAGTACTGGAGGATCATTTATCAAGGCTCGCAGATGAAGCTAGGACCAGACAGAGACTAGCAATCCATAGTCTAATAGGCCGAGCAGATTTTGTTGACGACAGTAATGAAGTCACCAGCCCTGCACCGCCCAGGGAGCACCATTCCAACGGCGCCTCGACCGCGTCCTCAAGGCTGCAAAGGCAGCGCCTGGTAAGAAATTCTATGAATGTCAAACCAAACCCTCAAATCCTCCGCTCTCAGAGTGTCCCTGGAGCGACCCAATCAACACAGTCCAAACAACCCGATCGAATGATTGAAAGCGGAAGCAATGAGCCAACAAATTACGCCCAAGAAGATCAGGGCCAGTGGCTGGACGGCATGCGCCTCGCCTTCAATCCTTGGATGGGATGGCCCGAAACGTTGGAAACATATGGATTTTCTCAAGATCTAGACGACGAATATTTCTAGCATATATTCCCCCCCCCCAGTGTAACCTCACCGCAATCAACGGCAACTTGATACTCATTCAAATCAGCAGATCAACCTGCGCCTGCGCTACGAATGCTGTCGACAAGGATTCTCGCAATGCTGCCAGCTCGAAGCGGAGTCACTGCAACTTACACATGCTCGGCTCTCATACGATACTTCTGGACTCCTGTGCCTTCTCTGCCTTATTGAACAAGAACATGAGAGTCACGATGAGTTTACCAATAGCCGAAAACAAGACCGAAGTTGCTGGACCTATGCCTCGATATATTCCTGCGCCGAAGAAAGCCCCCGCCACAAGGGCAGCAAGAAAGCTTACTCGTCGGTTTCGGGGGCGATTCTTCGCCGCGAAGAGATGAGGGTCGATTAGCAGATCAACCCATGCAGCCGTTGCCATCGCTGTGCTGATTTCTGTGATCGCCAACGCTCGCGATAAGACGACCTGACTCCCTGCCGCGAAAGCCAGCAAGCCGATAACCACCATTGTTTTTGTGCCTTCCAGCTCGATACCGTAAGCGTATTGAATGGCAGCCGCCATGAAGACGAGTATGCTCTGGATCAAATTGCAAAATACGATCCAAATACGAGAGCGAGGGCCGACGACGTGACCCAGTTGCCCTGTTATCCATCCTGCAGCCAGGAAGAACCCCAGACCCACCCCAATGTTTTCCGTCTTGAATAATTTTCCAGTCAGGTCCGGCAGGAGGATAGCCATTGCCAGCATGACCGTGTTTCCAGTCTGGTTCGAGGCAAAGCAATGGTAATCCGGGAAGGTTGTTGCATCTTGCATTCCCGTACAGAAAGTGAGGATCAGGAGTTCGGTCTCGGCGAGAATATTTACTCGGACATGGCTTGTCAAGTGTTCTTTCAGCCGTATCGCGACTGTCTTCTCTTGTGATTGCTTGATGGTAAGGTCGACCTGCGCTGGATGGTCATGCTCTTTCGTCGCGCTCGAGACGCTGCTATCATCATTTGTGGAAGGCATTGCTGAGGTGGAGCGAGGTGAAAATGAGCGAGATCCGCGGCTTGAGAAAAGGGTTTCCAACTGGCTTGCTGGTGAGAGAAGAAAGTGTTGTGTTTCTCAAAAGCGAACAAGAAACCCGCCAGTATTTGTGGAAACCGCGCATCGGCATTCCCAGCACTGGGAATACCACCTTGCTGGGCTCGCCCCTCTCTACGCAGGCCTGGTCCCATTATCCTGCAAGGCTTCTGGTGTCTGCTCACCTTCGAGATCCCCAGATGACAGTCCGAGGGCATATCTGACAAGAATACTGTCATTTACGCTACAAATACAGTATGAGCTATGCGTCGATACCAGAGCCTTGTGCATTGGACGAATCACAACATCGGCCGACTCCCGCACCGAAAAGCGATCTTGCCACTTAATCCCTCGATTGCCGGCGTGCGCGGCTGTTGGCATCTCACCAAAAGGCTGTCCGACTACCGGACGACCCCGAGTACCGTAGCATGACTTGCGACTGACCTCATTCCAACGAACCATGGTTCGACTCGCTCCTGGTCCATGGTCGGATCGTCGGCTGATTTGAGCTTTCCGAAGGGCTCAGTTGCTTGGAGGCTCTACCTTGGCATTCACAAAAGGGTAAATTTTTGCTCTCAGATGAACAAGACTCCAATGGCCATCGTCCCAAAGCCCATCAAAGGATAATAAATGCGGTCGGTGGCAATAGCACAATGTCAGTGCCCCAACTGGAGGATACCCACAAGCCAGAGTGGCTATGATGAGACGAGACCAATCCAGGGGCATTGACCGCTGATTCCAGGGTAATGTGCGAGTCGGTCCTGCCGGTTGTCCCATTCATGGGAGAGAAGGGTGGTCGATTCATCAACTGGCTCCACGTACAATAATCGTTTGTCTCAACGTAGTGTATGGTTCGGATGTGTCTCCGCCCTCCGGGCTCAGAGCATCAGCCTGCATGCGAGGGAGTAAGAAATCAATCCATATGCAGGGCAAAGGAGAATGGCGGCAAGGAGCAATTACTTGCGTAACCTGCAACTCCATTCCTGCTCTGTCGACCAGGACAGAGACCTCCCTCCTAAAAGACAGAGGATGGCCGGAAGCCGATATGGGGTGAGACGGCCCTCTTGCCGGCGCAGACCTGAAGTCCACAGTTGCTGCCCAATACCTGCGCGAAGGTTAGGACAATGTTCTAGCTTGATCCTCGCGGTCAATCAAGGTGACGCGTGGGCTTGCGAGGGGAGCTGCTCCAAAACACCAAAACAAAATATCCCAACTTGGGCCACAACCGACTTGCACTCAATTTTTCCTTGCAAGATGGTTACGGGACGAAGAATGGAAAACTGAGTGAACACACGATGGCCCTTGCGTCTAAAAAATACGGTGAGCGCGCACCACCAAGGCTGCTGAGCTCCACAGCGTCGGTCTCCTTGAGACTGAACTGTTCAATGGAGAACTGGAGCAAAATTTTCCTCAAACACAGCTTTCGGCAGTCGGAGTCTCCAGTCGGCAGTCGCAATGACCGGCTACACGGATCAAGAGCGGACACACAACCCTAGTAGTCACCACTGGAGGTCGAAAATTACAGTATCCCCACCTGGGTCTGAGAAAGACTGAGTCAGTTGAGGTGGAATTCCAGCAATGGCAAAGGGCGAGGTGCCTACCAAGTATGAACTTCGTCATTCCCCGAATATCGCCTGAAAGGTTTGCCACTACTTCAACCAACCTCGACCCAGCAGTCCGTGTTCTGAATTTGTAATGACGCCTAACACTCAGGCACAGGCGGGACCGGAGGCAACTTGGCGACCAAGTCATGTTGAGGGACTAGGCCGACGATTTGGCCAATTGCTACTGGGTATCGAATCAAGACTGGGCTGCGATCGAGTCGAGTGAGCCCACCGGAAAGCCTTGCGGCGCCCTGATGTCGGACAAATCTTTTAGCCGCCTCCTCGAGAATCTTGCCTCCACTCTCGTGAATCTGTCCACATCGAACCAATACTTGGACATGGGCAACCTCGCTCTGGCGAACAGCAGGATTCTATTTCAAGCGGTGGCGGGAACATACTCGCCGTTCACTACGGCACCTACATATTTCTTTCCATGTTCCTTATTTCTTTGAGGGGTTTCTTGGGCGAAGACATAGAGAATGTTGCGCCTTACTTGCTCCCATTTTGCAGAACTTAGGAGTCAGGGAATTATCGAATAAACCGCCGAATAGGGCTCATGAGGTGTAGCAGAAAGTATGGAAACAATAAGAAATTGAAAGCTCGGTATTGCTACAGAATTCTGTATACTCTTCGTATGGAGTCGATGCTCGCCAGCCTGGTATTCGACGCGTGAGTGCACAGTGAACTTCATTCGGCTCGCAAAATCCGGCCTTGAAAGACATCAAGGCAAGAGAAAGAGCTAGTACGCACGTACGTAAGGGTCATTAATTTCGTTTATTACTTTCGTCCCAGTCCTCACTCAAATATAGTTCGTATCATTCTGTACGGTTAAAATGCCCCTCGCAGCCCGAGGATCAATTGAACGCCGTATACTCGGGTTTGATGTACGTATCGGCTATCTCTATGTCCTTTGTGGTCATCTTGGCGATGCCACGCTTGCGCCGCTGCAACTGCTGGATGTCATCTTCGACGGAATTCTGGACGACGTAGCGGGTGACCAGGACGGGTTTTTGCTGGCCGATGCGGATGGTGCGGCCGATGGCCTGGGCCTCGACGCTGGGATTCCACTGGGGCTCGACAAGGAACACGCGGTTGGCGGCGATGATACTAAGCCCAAAGGCGCCGACGCCCGTGGTCATGATCAGCACGGGGATCCACGGGTCCCTCTCGAAGCGTGCGAGCACCTGCTGGCGGTGCTCGACGCTGAGTTCGCCGTCAATGCGCTCGAAGGTCATTCTTCGGTCTCGCAGGTGTCGGCCGATCAGGTCCAGAGTGGTTGTCCAGCACGAGAAGACGATGCTCTTGTCGCCTGCTGCGGCGGCGGCGGCGAGGTCCTGCACGAGTGCGATCATCTTCGATGAGCAGCCCTCGGAGCGGAGATCGCCTTGGTGCAGACGGGACTGGGATATCTCCCCTACTCCCAACGCGTGACGTTGAATTTTGGAAGGTCGGAGCGTCGCCTCGCACACTGGACAGTTGTCGCCTGTGCCTTCTTTGCACTCTTTGCACAGAATATGTGTACACGTGTCAGACAGGCCTAGCGCCCGGTTCGGGAGGATGCCGTACACTGTCTGTTCGCACGCCGAACACTTAGCCTCTCCATCGCTCCCCACAGAGGTCAACGCGTCTTCTCGGGAATCCCGCGTGTTCCTGCTCTTAGCCCAATGGAACTGGTGCTGGAAAGTCCCATGATTGCAGAGAAGCCGCAGTTGAAGTTGAGCTTGGAACATGCTGAACTTGCTCTGGCTCTCAGATACCACGAGATGATGCAACGCTCGTTTCATGTCTTCTTTTGTCTTGTTATACTGATCTCGCTCTTTAGGCGACAACTGGATGCTGTGTATCGTCTCGATTGGGACGGCCATATTTAGGTAGTCCTTCGTACGCCGAATGCAGATTGAGTCAAACAACCGGACGAGATTGCGTTGGCCCTCCAGGCGCCTGATGCCCCCATCGTTGAATGGGACTGTTATGTATTTGCGGAAGACGGCCAGTCTGTCAAACGGGAATATCTTGATGAATGTGAACAAGGAACCGATATCATCCAGAGTATTTTGTATGGGAGTGCCGGAAAGACACCAGCGAAATTTCGCGTCTAGTTCAGCAACGCCCTTGTATAGAAAGGTAGAATTTCGTCGTATGAAGTGCGCCTCGTCCAGAACGATGCGATACCAGGCAACCTCTGTGGCAGGGTTGGCTCTGTGCTTATCTGCGATAATGGTATGATATGTTGTCAAGACGATGTCACAATCGGCCAAGATTCTGGAGTCTTTGGTTCTCGTATTACCGTGATATTTCAGGATCTTCAAGTGTTGATTGACGCGATTCCGGATCTCATCTTCCCATGTAGCCAGCAATAACGGGGATGGAACAACCACCAATGTCGCCCTCGAAGGTATTTTGCTGGGGAGGATGTCCTCCGCAATGTGCACATCCCGGTCATTGGACCATATCGTTGCCTCGTCCAGTGTCCTGACGATCAAAGCTAGTATCGAGTAGGTCTTCCCCATGCCCATTTCGTCTGCTAGAATACCGCCACCAGCTTCGACTGGCAGCGTCCGAGATTTTATCCCTGTGATTTTATGGCGATACCAGGGTTCCGATTCGATGAGCGTAGGCTCCCATAGTTGAAATTCCTCTGGGATAGGACCTGTCTCTCGCTGTATCATGAAGTCGAGAGCCTTCTCCTGATGGTGAAGAAGTGGTGTACGGAGGCGCTTATCACCAGCCACGCCCTTGAGATGCGAATCACGCGTCAGCATCGAGTACATTTTTTCAACCGAATCCTGAAAGCCAGAGGTTCTAGAGGACTGCTCAGTTTGACTAGGTATTTCTGGCTCAATCTGTTGCTGACTTGTATTCAACTTCAAGACATGCGGGTTGTCATATTTTGAATGTGGGCTCACCCAATCGGGCCGTTGAAGCCAGATTTTCTTGACGGAGAAATCATGGCCAATAGAAGTCTGTGACTCTTCAGTCCCATAGACATTGATGTTGATAGTTGTAAGCGCATCTTTCGCTTTTTTGGCGGCCCCAATATCTCTGAATGAGTCAGTCCTGTCTTATACATTTTCGGGACAGCATTAAAGGGAAGAGATAGTCATGTAAACGTAGTTGACGCTTGAGAAGTGGAGGGGCCGAGTCAAAAGCAGACATCACTCCGCCACATAGCTTGTAAATGCCTCTTCACCTGCTCGGGCCGGACACTTACTCGAAGATCATCCTTCTATGGACCAGCGCTTCAAGACGGATGTGTTGGGACTTTACGTGTCCCACCAATGACTCTGTCAAATGAAAATTGAGCGTTGCAATCCGCATGCCATCTGGGATGCAGATGGACAGACTATCGTCGTCGAGAACGACGTCCAGGATGAAATGTGTCCGGGTCTGAGGCACATTACCCCTGAGACGTTGCGAAACCTCACGCATGTCCCCTTCAAGCTTAGCTTTTGCACGGTAGATCTGTGCGAGAAGTATTAGTCTGAGCCTTTCAGGGTGAAGTCTATTCGGCCATAGTGGGCTTTTGGGAGGCGACGGAATTCACTTACCATGCCATAGCATCGATTGAAGCCATTTTGCCGCTGACAGCCTCTGTCTCCTCCACCTACCAGCAGCTCATCTACATCTCCAAAGGGAGCTATTCCCAGGTCTTTTGCTAACCAGGTTTCAATGTCGTCCTGCACATTGTGGATGGCAGGAAAGAAAGTATTTGATGGCTCGTGCCCCTCTTCAACATTGAGAATGCCAGCGTTAATGTTTGGATCTCCGATCAATTCGTTCCAGACATTGTTCCAGTCACGAGCGCCGACATCTAGATGGGGCTCTGGGCCATCACCAAAGCTCTCCGACTGCTGTGAAGAAAACGGCTGAGACGAGAAGGCGCCGCAATGGTCAGGGTATTGGAAGTGATCGAGCTGATGAGGCTGATCGAGCTGGTCGATGTAGTCGGCCGAACGTTTCAATGATGTCATAGCGTCTCACAGGGGGTGGAGCCTGAACCACGCATTCAGTCAAAGGTGCCTCCTTAAGTGCCAAACAACAACGGCACTGACTACCACCTGGCATCAGTGTCTGAATGCTACCGCATTGGCTTTAACACATCAATGCGACAAAGAAGCCAGCCATGCCAGCCTCGGGGACTCCCAGGAAGGTTATGAGGCTACACAACAATGCGGCTGAGGAGTGATTGGCTCCGCCTCAGCGTGGACGCCTTGTCATGCAAGCGAGTCTGCCTTCTCGCGTCTGCGCCTGCGCCTCGTTCTGTGTCGACCCTCAGCCTGATCGTGCTCCTCCTTAACATGGCCTCTAGGACTTTGCACACTCCTTCCCTGGACAATTCAACGGTGTCATCGACTGGGCTCAAGGCACCGGTTCGTGCTTACTGTTACTTTTCGAATCCATTAAGCCGCCTTCGAGATACCCTGCGCATGACTCGCTCGATTTGGGGACATTGAGCAGCAAAAGGCCACGAAGCCATAAAGATTTAGTCAAATTGTTGACCCTCGTTGTGCTCTATACCCTTCCTGTGCGAAATGTCTGCCCCAACACAAGCCACTTCAGCGGGACCTGGTGCGTTCGAAGTCGCGCTGACCAAGTTTAAAAGTCATCTGGACGGGAAGCAGTTGCAAAGCTTCAAGGTTACAACTCTCAGAGATGTCGAGGCGGCGCTCGCTGAAATTCAAAACCGTCAGACTGCACAGCGGGAACTACGCAATTTGACTCGAATTCGTCGCTTCCTGGATGCGATGGAGCAATTCGGCAATGTCGTCGAAGTCTTCACCAACACAAGTGATATCGTTGCTTTCATCTGGGGCCCGCTCAAATTTCTCCTGCAGGTGTCAAGCACCTGGGCGAATTCCCTTGATAGGATTCTGGAAGCATACGAGCAAATTGGCGAAGCATTACCTCTGCTCGAGCAGTATGAGTCACTTTTCACAAAATGTCCGAAGATGCAAAAGGTGCTTGTAATGATGTATACGGACATTCTTGATTTCCATCTACCCGCAGTCAGCTTCCTCAACCGTTCAAGTGAGCAACAGTTTGTAAACCCCCTGTCGTGCCCCCGACTAACTTTCCTGGAGAGTGGCGACAGTTTTTTCGATCATCATGGGGTGACTTCAGATCAAAGTTCGAGGGAATTCTCAGGAATCTTGAACGGCACAGGCGTTTGATCGAATCACAATTCATCCTGCTACAGGCTTCCGAGCATGAGAAACACCGCACTGACGTGCTTCAGAATATTCAGAACATGAGGCAGGGAATTCAGAATATCCAGACAGTGGAGGAGGAAATTCGAAAAGTCCAGCAGGAAGTGCGTGTCGCGCAAGAAAAACTTCAACGTGCCGAAGAGGATCGCAGAGCTGACCAGCTGCGCGCGGTACGTGTCTGGATAGCCGGAACTCCTATTTCCGACTACCACGCATTAGCTTTAAAAGCCCGCGAGGACTATCCTCAGACCGGGCTCTGGGTCACACAGCATCCAAAGGTGTCAAGCTGGCTCACGGATGACATTCCACGGTCCTCAATTCTGTGGATGCACGGCATTCCAGGCGCTGGTGAGGAATTTACAACTCCAAGATAAATGTCAGCTGAAGTGGTCTAGGGAAAACGACATTGGCGTCGATCATCATTGAAGCTTGCAGAAAACAACAGCAAGCCCAAACCGCGTACTTTTACTGTAGACATGATGACTCTGAGGGGACTACTTGTGGCAAAATCTTGAAGGGCCTTCTCGCTCACCAAGTTGATTGGTATCCGGATCTTGTGCCCTATTTTCATGAACAGCGGCAGCGAAGCCTCGAAGCTGTCCTGACTTCGGACAACGCCGCAAAGCCCCTTTTCGAAACCGTTTCCGGAGAGGGCAAGCGTCAGTACATCGTGGTCGATGGGCTGGACGAATGCCAAATGCCGGAACGGAAGTCGATACTAAAGATTTTAACGGATTTGGTCAACCAAATTGACGCCAAAGAGCCGTCAAAACTTCGGGTCCTCATTATCAGCCAGGAAGAGCCTGATATTCGGAGAGCATTATCGTCGGCAGACGAGTTCCTAATCAAACGCGAAGACAACAGCCAGGACATCCGCACATTTGTGCAAGCTTGGACAGCCAAGATCCAGACAAAGTTCGATCTTAGCGACGACGATTCATCTCTGTTAACGTGGCTCACATGCCGTAACGCAGCGGGTATGGATACTTTGTCGTTTATGGAACAGATCGCTAATTTCAAAAGGTCAATTTCTCTTCGCTAAACTGGTCATGGAATACCTGTACCAGCAACCCACGCGTGAAAGGCTTGAAAAGGAAGTCAAATTTGAGGCTTTTCCAAAGGAGTTGGCAGAAGTGTGAGTATCAACCGTCTCCGATTCGCCGATTCGTACGTAGTTAAGGTTCACCTCTGGTTGCAGTCATCTAAAGTCCACGAACAAATCTTTTGTCAGGGTTAACCTTTTGCACCAGATACGATCGCATCATTAAACGCATCAAAAGCCGGCTTGGTGAAAACGAATGGGATTTCGTTCAACAATTTCTAGGGTGGATGACTTGTGCTGCTCGGCCACTCAAATGGCACGAAATACAAGGTGCAATGTCAATATCTCTGGATGAACAAGAAGTAAATAAGAAACGTCGGAGCCCTGAATCAGCCCATGAATATTGCGGACCCTTGGTAACTGAGTGCGATAACCGTGTAATTCTCGTGCATGGCACAGCAAAGAGGTATGTTTCACAAGATTGAGATGCTGTAGACTTCATAGCAAAGCTGGCAGATTTCCTCACTATTTTTTTCTCTCTTCTGTTTGGGCTAATTGTCAATAGGTACATCGCGGAGTCAAAACACATCGATCTTTTGGCCGTGGAATGCCGGCTTGCGAGCTTGTGTTTGGAGTACCTTGCTTTCCCCTGCTTCGACGGAGATGACTTGGAGGCATATATTCTCAACGGTTCGTATGCTTTTGCGGACTACGCAGTTGCCAAGTGGATGTACCACTTTAAGAAGATACTCGGTCAACTGGCCAGTAACGTTGATGCAATCCAATTCGAAATGTACGAGACGGTGGTGCAGGAGCTCTGGGAGGCAGTGGAGAAAATTACCGAGCAGTATAAGTTCGACCTTCAAGCCAGTCGTACCGAAGCCGAAGGCATGCAATTAAATGTCTTCAGGTTGGAGCCTGGGGTGTGCCGCGTGCTTGCGGCATTCGAGGGCGCTGAAGAAGTATTCCTGTCCCTGTGGACGCATATAAAACTGCACGAGATCAAGGGTTCGGAAAAGCGCAATGAAATTAGCTTGGAGAGGCTTCGGACCGCGATGGATAAAATACGAACGTCATTGGAAGAGCTCTCTAAGAACAAGACATTGACGCCGAAAGATCGCAAGGAGCTGGAGTCATATTACAGTTCCAAATTTTTCCGATGCCCGAAAGTGACTTGCTATTACTTCCACGAAGGGTTTACTGATGGAAAAAGCAGGAAAAAGCATGTCAATAGGCACGACCGACCATTTCAATGCGACCAGGTGGATTGCACCGGAGCCGACTTAGGGTTTGGGTCGAAAAAAGAACTCGAGAACCACATGCAAAACTTTCATGCGGATGCGGAGATGAAAGCTCTCCTCTTCAAGGAAACGAAGCCTGCTACAAGCAGCCGCGCGAAGTATCCCTGCGGAGAGTGTGAAAAGAGCTTTGTCCGCAAATCGATATTACGAGACCATGAACGAGTACATAAAGGTGAAAAACCATATGAATGTGCACGTTGCGGCAAGGCTTTCGCTCGGAAAAATGATTGTAAGAGACATGAAAAGATCCACGAGCACCGACGATGAGGATGATGAGGGAGTTGTTGAGAGAGCGGCATTCACAGCTTTGGGCAGATAGGCTGAATTCAAATCTGTGACAATGACACTCGCCATAAGCTTCACCCCCATAACCCGAGGAACGGGGCGTCGAGGTATTCCTGGTGTCCCAACTAGAAGAAGCCTGGTGTAGTACTGCAATTGGAGTGCCCTCGAGTGATCAAAGTGGTTTGAGTGGTGCACCTCCCACTTTCTTGACGAGTGAGGATTCGTGATCCTGTTGCCAAGACTTAAGCAATATCGGGCAACCAGCAGGATGAAGGAGGACCACTGGTGGGCAACCTGACAAATACCAAGTACCGTGCTTGTGCACTGCACTTTTAGTGTTCTTGAACTCTCATAACGATTGTCGTGATGAAGGCTGAGCAGTGCACTGCACTTTTAGCGTTGTTGAGACAACTCTTCACTAGGCCATTTTCTGACGGATTCCTTGGCACTGTGCAGGCACCGTGTCACGAGGTAGTCCGTACTCGGTACTCCGTCACCCATTGCCGCTGCACATCCATCATCGGCGCTGCACAGTTGGGCTCGAGAGTCGTCGCCGCTCAACCTCTTGGGTTATCCCGCTGACCGCGCGTCGAGGATGTCAAGGCCCCTTCTAGCATGGACTGACCTCGGGTGGAATGGTCTATCACAGCCACACACTGAAAGCAGGCCTGCCCTCTCTCCCCGATCCCAATGGACACCCTTCGACAAGAGAATGCCAATGGCGACTTTGACCGACTCTGCGACTCGCAATTCTGCCAGTTCCTTGCCGCTTTGCAGTTCGACCCAGCACTCAGTGCATTCGACGTAATGGGACAGGCCTTGAGCCGGCGCTTCCCCCATGTTATGACCTTCTATGAACTCGAGATAGGGACCCTCCAAACTATTGCCGCTAGAGATCACTGCCCTTCTTGCAGATTCGCCCTCACCATCCTAGAAAGCTGCGCCGGTGATAGGGGCCCCCCAGACACGACGTATTTCGCTTCTTTTCCTAAGACACACTTACGTTTCAGCCTTGCCCACCACAAACCAAATGGCCGAGCTCACTATCTCATGAGCAAGTTCGGAGAACAGATTACATTCCTTGCAAACGACAGCGTCCGAGTTCCCGAGGCGGGAAGGCTCGTGGATCCCAAAGGAGTAGATTACCAACGTATGAGATCCTGGTTGGCGCTCTGCGAGCAATTACATGATGTCTGTCCGGCCACGGCGACGGGGAAGAGCCCCCATCGCCTAAATCTTCTCCCTCACCTCCGCGTTGTCGATGTTCAGGAAATGTGTCTGACCGATATTCCATGGACTGAAAAGTACGTGGCCTTGAGCTATGTGTGGGGAGGAGCAACTCCTCCTCGGCTTCTCAAACACGAGTTGGACATGTGGAAAACGCCGGGTTCGATCCGATGCCGAGCTGATACCTTTCCCCGAACCATTCGCGACTCTCTAGAAGTGGTCACGAAGCTCAACTTACGTTACTTCTGGTTTGATTCGCTGTGTCTCCTACAGGATGACCTGGAAGACCTTCGGAAAAGCATCAACAATATGGACATGATATATGAGAGGGCATACGTGACCATTGTTGCCGCCAACAGTCCCAGTGCGGATGGTGGTCTTCCAGGAGTGGGGTCATCTCGCACCCCAAACCAGATGATACAACACATAAAGCCTGGTATCAGTCTAATAAATATCGCCCCGCTGGATGCCCATCTGAAAACATCAGTATGGTCGACGCGCGGTTGGACGTATGACCTTGTCTTTCATCTTTCCTACAATGCGGCCCTTTTGTCAAGCTGCTGCTAATAATCATTGACGTAGACTTCAGGAACAACATCTCTCACGCCGAACGATGAATTTTGTCAATGGCCAAGTATATTTCCGCTGTAGGCAGCGGATATGGTCTGAGGACTTGTGTAGGGACCTGGCCCCTCGGTCGCAAAATCCTATCGAATGGGCAACCAATTACATCGCTCTGGCCCGAGAAGGTATGGACGAGATGGAATACCTCTTACAGCCTTATGATTTCCTCTTCAGCGCTCTGGAGGAATTCCAAAAACGCAACATCACCATGGACAGTGACGCGCTGAATGCCATGGCTGGCTTCCTCCAGCGAGTGGCCGAAGCTGGAAAGACCGCGATGATCGAAGGTCTACCCGTCAAGCTCCTCCCTGTAGCTATGATCTTTCGGAACCGCGCCGATAACCCAGACTTGTCTCCGGACGTGCGACGTAGGTCAGATTTTCCGAGCTGGTCCTGGGCGGGATGGCGGGCCCCCTCTTTTTGGGACTATTGGAAGGAAATCGACGTTACAGAAGGTGAAGGCGAGATCCTCGACTGGCTTACTGGAGCGAATTGGATCACATGGTCTGTGTCCAAAGATGGCGGAGCGCCTGAAGTTTTTCATGATCCGTCAACCATCAGAAACCAATTTTTCGCGGACGAGGGAGACAGAGCGAAGGGAGATGACATGCACCGCCCCGCGACAGCACACGTAGAGAGATCTATACCTCCTCCATTCGAACAAATGCCGTGGGCTTTCCGAGAACAGGCCCCGAAAATCCCGCCAGACATGCCCTATCCCCTCTTAATCTTCCGGACTGTCGTCATCCGCATGGCCGTTGCTCCCCCAGGACCAGACTCAGATTCTTACTGCCTCTTCTCCATCCTAGACAACACCGGATCGAGCTGCGGTGAAGTTATACCAGACTTCATCCCCGAGTCTCCCAACACAGACACTAATGACAGAGCCACCGGTGCTGAAGGAGACGCAGGTGCCGACGCAGAGGCGCACACAGAAGCAACACGATTGCCGCCCGAGCATCCACTCTTTGAGTTCCTCCTCCTCTCCGAACGACACCACAAGCCGAACCTGACGGCCGCGGCGCCTGGGGACGACGACTACGACGATGCTGTTGCAAACTTCGTCGAAAAGAACACGTACTGGGTCATGATGGTCGAATTCCTGCCTGAGAAGGCCGTCTATGAACGCCGAGGCATCGGCCACGTCCTGAAGACTTTGGTGCTAGAGGGGAAGACCCTCAGTCCAGGGCCCGAGTGGCGGGAGATCGTGCTGGCCTGAGCAAAAGCAAACAAGGGGACGACCTACAAGTTAGTGCTTCGGAACGGAGTGAATCCAATACAGCGGAGCGGCGTAGAGTCATGTGTGATAGGGAACTGGATCGATAGAACCGCCTCTATCGGCTAGGAAGAATCAAGCACAAGACAACAGATAGATAGATATTAGCGTGATGCCACCCTACAGACGCAGGGCTTTTTCTAGGGGTAGGTAGATATGAGGTATACGATGATTTTGACGATTTTGACGCCCATAGTGACGACAAGCTATGATAACAATTACCATGAACGATGAACAACGAATCGTGAGCGGTAAATAATAGCTGAGGTGATGAGACGATGGATATAGATAGATAATGAGTGGATGATAGATAATGGACGATGTCCCTTTGCGTACGCGGCACTCGTATCTCACTTTCACTCCACGAATTAAACACATAAATCCATACATACTTCTGCGACGGAAATCAACTCCACGACCAGGAATACCATTCTCTCTCATGTGGTCTCTCTCCGCTCCCCCTCACTGAATCTTGTCCCCCTTCAACAGAAATGTAAGTGGGTTGGAAAAGGAAAGGGGAAGGAGAAGGGACCCCTTTGCCGAGCAGGATGGAGGAAGAAGCGAAAAATAACAAAAAATAGAATTCCGATGTGGCAGGTTCTGTTTTTACCCCGCGGTGAGAAGAATCTCCCAGGTCCCAGGACGCGCCAATAGATATACCGATTTCCCTAACCGACGGGCAGATCGACATACAAATAGATACGGAAAGGTAAGTAGACAAATATAAACAAGGGAGGCCCTCTGAACTGGGGGCAGATAGATACACTGGACCACCAACGCCATGCCAAACGTATACGCACAAACACACACATACACATAGCCCGGTACTGTTTTCTCCCATAACGTGTGTATTGCCCCCAACCAGACTAACCAACTCAACCCGATGCCAACAGGATATCCAAGTTAGAAAGAAGAGAGAACCGAAAGAGAAGAATATACTAACAATAGAGGACAAGAACATTCACGCGGTGAACTTGCTCCGGACCCTCAGACTAGCACCGTAGAAATACAGGCCGTACATGCCGACGATGCCGACGACAGACAGACCCGCCACGAGAGTGACGCCCCGATCGATGCCGAGGTTCGTGTACATCTGGCGGGAGAACTGGACGAAGGCGGCGGCCAGCAAGGAGCGGGCGCAGTCGTTGGCAGCGAACAGGCTGGCGACGTAGCGAGGGTACGACAGCGGCACGTAGCAGATCAGAGCCTGGAAGATGAAGAAGGTGAAGAAGGCGAAGATGCCGATGCCCAGCGTTGGCACCATCCAGTGGATGTCCGTGCGTGCGGTCCAGGCAAACAGCAGCAGACCGACCGGCGGGCCCCAGACGCCGAAGAGGCCCGGGAGGAGCCACTGCTCTTGAGCGACCGGTTCGCCCTTTTCTTTGTGGTGTGCTCGCGCCCGAGGGATGAAGTAGTACGTGATGTAGAGATAGTAGATGATGAGACCACATATACAGCCGATGGTTAGGGAGGTAAAGATGAGCCCCATGCCGCCGAGAGACGTACGGTAGGTGCCTAGGTAGACAAGTGGGAAAGCCTCGAAGAAAGAATAGTAAGCGGCATAGACAATGGAGCCGTAGACACAGGCATAGAGGATGGCAGGGTCCTTGACGGTGATTTCCAACGGCTTGTTAAGTGCTGCAAGGAGCATCTTGGCAAAAGCGAGAGGTTTGAGTTCACAGGGTGCTTTATATGCGTTGTTGCCCGTGGCTTTGCGGAGACGTCTGGCGCGGTTAAGAAGGATGGTCTGGGGGGATGTCTCGGGGAGAAAAGGGAGGAACACAAGGACCACGGCGCCCATGATAACCACTTCATATAGCGGCCATCGCCAGTTGTCTGGGACGGCGTAGCCGGC